TGCAGCTTCAAGGTAATACAACTTTTACTTGAGATTTATTTGTATTTTGAAATTTTATTTTCCATGAATAGTTATTTGAATACAATTTAGGAACAAATAAAACTATGCAGATATCAGACATTGCCTTCACGGGTTAAACCTGTATAACCTGAGCAAACTGTAAAGCCTATCTCTGGTGGCATGCGGCATTTTAAACAAATTTTGGCCATAACGCCAAATATCCGTGACAGTTTGCTTATCCGTCTGCCTAGCTTCCTCACATTCGCGTATTTCCTAAGCTATTAATTTCAATGACTTCTCTTATCCTTCTTATAATCGCAGACATATAATAATCAGCAAGCCTACTAGTATGAGAACATTCTATCTCATGTCGAGTTTCTACCATATGTTCAGTCGCTTTTGACAGTTGGACCAAACTTCCTTTACAAGCATTTATGCGTTCCCCAATCTTTGTCGAGTATATCGGCATGTCTCGCCAACATAAGTTCGACCATATGAGCAAACAATCTTGTGGCAGCCGGATCTCGATAATGAGTCATATTTCTTTCTAAGAGATGGCATAATCGAAGAAAGTGTAAGGATTTCTTTGAACACTGTTTATATCCCCCACTTTCTTACTAATTTGCCTAGCTTTTTTGAAAGAAGGCACGACGACAAAATTAGGACATGGGAAAAGGTCTCAGCCTGTTTATCGTTGACTAAATTGTCTTCTTCTGAATATGTATTCCTCAGTAGAGAGATATCATTTCCAATAAGGCTCAAAGGATAATTATTTTTCGAGAATAAATTTGTCAGTCGTTCCAACTCTTTAGTCAAATATTTGCTATCTTCTAGTCTCATACTTCTAAGAACCATAGACTTCAAAATTTCGACCTTAGTCTTGTAACTAGGGTTGGAAAGAAAATTAAGCAAAGAGCCAACATATGTTGGCTTCCTATAAACATCTCTTCCTAGCTTACTCTCTTCTCTAATGCTAAGAACATAGAAAAGGTAAGGACTTATTCTCTTCCATTTCCATTGTGAACTTAATGTTTATTTTACGCTGGTTGAGTGAAAGTAGGAAACTATTTAAACCTTCCTTACCATGAGGCCAGATGACAAAAGAGTCATCCATGTATCTAACGAACAATTTGGGGGTTATTATTGCCTCTTGCAGGAAGAGTTCCTCCAGTTTTGCCATATAATTATTCACCAGGC